CAGGAGCAGTTGAAGTTGTAGACGGCTGGCAGGAGCAGTTGAAGTTGTAGACGAGCCGTTGAAGTGCAGGAAGGGGGGGGGGGGTTCTAATCAAATCTAAGGTCTAAGTGCCCTACTGTCTACACCTATTGAATAAGAACCCGTGCCTTTGGATATAACTCGGAGGTATGAAAGCCTGAACCTATGGAGAGAATATTTTTTGAGAAGGGGGGTCGGTCAGTTCAGTGCGGGATTTTCAGTGCGGGTTATTTTCAGTGTGGGGCATTTTGGGAGTGACGTTTTGTCCGGGGCATGTTGGGGAGTGACGTTTTGTCCGGGGCGAATTGGGGAGTGACGTTTTGTCCGGGGCATTTTGGGGAGTGACGTTTTGTCATGGGCATTTTAGGGAGTGACGTTTTGTCCGGGGCGAATTGGGGAGTGACGTTTTGTCCGGGGCATTTTGTCCGGGGCATTTTGTGGAGTGACATTTTGTCCGAGGACGAATTGGGGAGTGACGTTTTGTCCGGGGCATGTTGGGGAGTGACGTTTTGTCCGGGGCATGTTGGGGAGTGACATTTGGGTCAGACTTGGGATAGGTGGAAGACAGGGGTCTTATAAAATGGGTATAGACAATAGAGCACCATCTTGGACCCGGGGGTTCATTGGAGTACCGTGTCGGGGCCCAGGGGACACTAGAGTCGGTGCAGGAGAAGTTGTAGACGTCTGGCAGGAGCAATTGAAGTTGTAGACGGCTGGCAGGTGCAGTTGAAGTTGTAGAAGTCCGGCAGGAGCAGTTGAAGTTGTAGACGGCTGGCAGGAGCAGTTGAAGTTGTAGACGAGCCGTTGAAGTGCAGGAAGGGGGGGGGGGTTCTAATCAAATCTAAGGTCTAAGTGCCCTACTGTCTACACCTATTGAATAAGAACCCGTGCCTTTGGATATAACTCGGAGGTATGAAAGCCTGAACCTATGGAGAGAATATTTTTTGAGAAGGGGGGTCGGTCAGTTCAGTGCGGGATTTTCAGTGCGGGTTATTTTCAGTGTGGGGCATTTTGGGAGTGACGTTTTGTCCGGGGCATGTTGGGGAGTGACGTTTTGTCCGGGGCGAATTGGGGAGTGACGTTTTGTCCGGGGCATTTTGGGGAGTGACGTTTTGTCATGGGCATTTTAGGGAGTGACGTTTTGTCCGGGGCGAATTGGGGAGTGACGTTTTGTCCGGGGCATTTTGTCCGGGGCATTTTGTGGAGTGACATTTTGTCCGAGGACGAATTGGGGAGTGACGTTTTGTCCGGGGCATGTTGGGGAGTGACGTTTTGTCCGGGGCATGTTGGGGAGTGACATTTGGGTCAGACTTGGGATAGGTGGAAGACAGGGGTCTTATAAAATGGGTATAGACAATAGAGCACCATCTTGGACCCGGGGGTTCATTGGAGTACCGTGTCGGGGCCCAGGGGACACTAGAGTCGGTGCAGGAGAAGTTGTAGACGTCTGGCAGGAGCAATTGAAGTTGTAGACGGCTGGCAGGTGCAGTTGAAGTTGTAGAAGTCCGGCAGGAGCAGTTGAAGTTGTAGACGGCTGGCAGGAGCAGTTGAAGTTGTAGACGAGCCGTTGAAGTGCAGGAAGGGGGGGGGGGGTTCTAATCAAATCTAAGGTCTAAGTGCCCTACTGTCTACACCTATTGAATAAGAACCCGTGCCTTTGGATATAACTCGGAGGTATGAAAGCCTGAACCTATGGAGAGAATATTTTTTGAGAAGGGGGGTCGGTCAGTTCAGTGCGGGATTTTCAGTGCGGGTTATTTTCAGTGTGGGGCATTTTGGGAGTGACGTTTTGTCCGGGGCATGTTGGGGAGTGACGTTTTGTCCGGGGCGAATTGGGGAGTGACGTTTTGTCCGGGGCATTTTGGGGAGTGACGTTTTGTCATGGGCATTTTAGGGAGTGACGTTTTGTCCGGGGCGAATTGGGGAGTGACGTTTTGTCCGGGGCATTTTGTCCGGGGCATTTTGTGGAGTGACATTTTGTCCGAGGACGAATTGGGGAGTGACGTTTTGTCCGGGGCATGTTGGGGAGTGACGTTTTGTCCGGGGCATGTTGGGGAGTGACATTTGGGTCAGACTTGGGATAGGTGGAAGACAGGGGTCTTATAAAATGGGTATAGACAATAGAGCACCATCTTGGACCCGGGGGTTCATTGGAGTACCGTGTCGGGGCCCAGGGGACACTAGAGTCGGTGCAGGAGAAGTTGTAGACGTCTGGCAGGAGCAATTGAAGTTGTAGACGGCTGGCAGGTGCAGTTGAAGTTGTAGAAGTCCGGCAGGAGCAGTTGAAGTTGTAGACGGCTGGCAGGAGCAGTTGAAGTTGTAGACGAGCCGTTGAAGTGCAGGAAGGGGGGGGGGGTTCTAATCAAATCTAAGGTCTAAGTGCCCTACTGTCTACACCTATTGAATAAGAACCCGTGCCTTTGGATATAACTCGGAGGTATGAAAGCCTGAACCTATGGAGAGAATATTTTTTGAGAAGGGGGGTCGGTCAGTTCAGTGCGGGATTTTCAGTGCGGGTTATTTTCAGTGTGGGGCATTTTGGGAGTGACGTTTTGTCCGGGGCATGTTGGGGAGTGACGTTTTGTCCGGGGCGAATTGGGGAGTGACGTTTTGTCCGGGGCATTTTGGGGAGTGACGTTTTGTCATGGGCATTTTAGGGAGTGACGTTTTGTCCGGGGCGAATTGGGGAGTGACGTTTTGTCCGGGGCATTTTGTCCGGGGCATTTTGTGGAGTGACATTTTGTCCGAGGACGAATTGGGGAGTGACGTTTTGTCCGGGGCATGTTGGGGAGTGACGTTTTGTCCGGGGCATGTTGGGGAGTGACATTTGGGTCAGACTTGGGATAGGTGGAAGACAGGGGTCTTATAAAATGGGTATAGACAATAGAGCACCATCTTGGACCCGGGGGTTCATTGGAGTACCGTGTCGGGGCCCAGGGGACACTAGAGTCGGTGCAGGAGAAGTTGTAGACGTCTGGCAGGAGCAATTGAAGTTGTAGACGGCTGGCAGGTGCAGTTGAAGTTGTAGAAGTCCGGCAGGAGCAGTTGAAGTTGTAGACGGCTGGCAGGAGCAGTTGAAGTTGTAGACGAGCCGTTGAAGTGCAGGAAGGGGGGGGGGGGTTCTAATCAAATCTAAGGTCTAAGTGCCCTACTGTCTACACCTATTGAATAAGAACCCGTGCCTTTGGATATAACTCGGAGGTATGAAAGCCTGAACCTAGAAGTTTTTGCAATTCGATGTTGGCGGTATTAAATGTATATACCTTGTGGAATCAACTGGGCGTTTCATTATAGAGGTCGTCAAATTGGATCGGTTTTGGTGGAGTTTAGGAGTGTCTGAAGCTCTAGGAGCTTGGAAGAGTTGGGTGGTGGGTAAACCCGGGCAGGGGGGGCCAAACCCATTTTAACCAACAAAAAAATTATGTGATAAAAAAATACCACTTGTAAAGAAAAGGCCTTTTTGCTTTCTTCTAAACGAATCCGCAAAAAACCTTTTTTTACAAGTGGCTTAATTGTACTTTTCCGTTTTTGCATCTAAGAATTCTGCTGTTTTGATTACATTTTGTCTGAAATAAATAAAACAAAACAATCGACGCAAACGGAAAAGCACTAAAAAAATAATAAATACAAATTTAATTCAAATATCTTTAAGACCTTTAAATGTGGCGGAAGCATCTTTGCCACATTCTTAGCTTCTCTCATCTTTGTAATCCATCATCCATTTGTCGCAATCCAATCCTCATTTTGAAAACTTCTCGCAATAAAATTTTGTCTTGGTGTAGCTGTTGAAATTCCAGAGCCATCAGATAACATCAACTAGCCTCACTCGTTCGAAGAACATTGTGGTGATTTAGTTGTCTGAAGGTTTGTTGTAGAAGAACATACTTCTCACGTGAAACTTGCTAAAATTTATTAATTAATAGAATCCACCAAAAATTAAAACATACACTGAAAACTAAATCCTTTGTTTGGGTACTTTTGAGTCGATCCATCTGCTTTCGAAATTGAGAATAACGGACATTAAATGAACAAACTTAAATATAAGGAACTGAATTAGGCATATAAAAAATTAAAAAAAACCTCCGGTTTTATCAATAAGAACAGTATGAGAAGAATCACCACCAAACCATTTTGTGAAATCGTCATGGACGAGGAACAATTAAAGAAGACAAATCTTGCTCGTTGGTCAAGTGTTGTTGTAAAACTTCCAAAACATCTTCATTTGAGACAATGCTGGCTGAAGGTTTAACGATTCCAAGACGAATTGGAGGAATTAATGCATTAGTGATTCCAATCAATTCCAGCAATGAATAACTAATTAATGCCTGAAAATTTCTGTTTAAAAAATACAGAAAATTTTTTAAATAACCTGAAACACTCGTCGACATTTTGCTACAAAAGCAATAACTTTATGCTTCTTTTGATCCTTTTTCTCGAGTGATGAATTGAGAGAAAGAGCGGCAGGTAGACTAGCACGAACTAATGAAAGTACACCAGAGATAGCAGCAGCTCGATAATTGTTTAAAGAATCGCGTATTGCAGCAACAGCAGAAGTAGACGTGCCGGGTTGTGCAGCATTTGACTGATTTGAAAGTGGATAAATTAAGCTGGAAGCATCGGGTGCTGGGATTGCTTTATTAATATCATCAAAAATTGTTGCTGAAAGTGTTAAAAATTTAAAAAAAAAATTAAAAATTTCTTCAAACCAAGTAAAGTTCCATTAGCCTCTATCGAAAGCAAAATGACCATAACAAAAAGACGAATAACTGAACGGACAAATCTTTGAATTAAAAAATGGACTTCTTCATCCCATTTCTTTTGTTGTTTATTGGCTTGTCGTACAGGTAAATTGAGAAGAGTGTCAAGGCTCGATTCTTCACACCAGCCAAGTAAAGTAAAAACAAATTTGTCCAAATGTGTTGAACCATTATGTTCAAGTAAATGAAAAACATTTTCTAAAATGGTTGATCATCTTCAGATACCAACATCAAGCAAACTTTTTACAACATCACAATTTCCTATTGCCAAATCGAGTGCTAAAAATTAAATTAAAATCTGAACATATTAAATTAAAAAAACCTTTTCTTGCAAATTTTGGTGGTTCAAGATCATGTTCAGGTATAGGAACGCCATATGCTGTAGTTGTAATAGTAGGTCCAGGGCGCTTACTACGTTTCGTATAGCCTTCTTGTTCTATCAACTATTCATTAAATTAAACATCTTAAATAAACGGAAATTAATTAAAAAACCTGACGACCAACAGTACGAGCCAAAAACAGTAAAATGTGTCGCCTTTAGAATTAAGGCCATTAATCAATGCAGGTCATTGTAACATTCCTATTAAATTTAGATAATAAAAATAACAAAAGTAAAAAAAAACCAGAAAGCAATTGTTCCCTCTTTGCATTATTTCCAGTGACCAAAGCTTTACATTCGCATTTCTCCCAGCAGTCACAATAAGCGGTTGGAGATGTTTTTTTAAGTCTAAAAAGTGTTTTAAATGACATATAGTGCCTATTATTTCGGAAAAAATAAAATTACTCACTTGCAGTCATGATTTCTATGACAAAGCAGGGCTAAAAGCAATCATAAAATTAAAAATAAAAAGAGAAAATATTACCGCATTCAGTACAACAACAAAAGTCCCTACAAGTCCACATGTTTTGCATTCATAAATTTTTTGAGGCGTATGTTCTTCGCCTGTCCAGGTGTAACCTTTAAAAATTATGTAAATTAAAAATAATGTTTAAAAAATATATACTGCATGTATCATTAGCACAAAGAATAAAAAGTGAGGAATCTTCATTTGTATCGTCAGATCCAACACTTGGCATTAATATATCGACAACATCTAGAAAATTTGTAAAATCACTTAAAACTATTGATAAGATCAGACTTTTATTGATAAGATCAGACGAGTCAGCACTTTCCGGCTCATCTTTGCCTGTTTCAGGGGAAGAATCTAACATAAAAATAAAAGTTACAAAGTTATCTGAAATATTTAAAAAACCTTATTTAGAAATTTCAGAAGTTAGTTCGTTTAGGAGTTGCTGCTGTTGATGCGCTTTTGCTCTCGTTGTTGGAGCGGAACTTATCATTTCTTGCCATTTGCGTTCATAACTAAAAAATTAATAAACAGAAACAAAAAACTAAAGAAACCGTGTCTTAACAGCGTCCGCCTCAACAGTGTCGGATTTTTGAGAGGCCGTTGATAAACGCGAATCAGTCGCATCAAGATCAGCTTGGTCAGCATTTGTTTTGCTGTAAGCATTTTGAACGGCAACATGAAAAATATTTCGATTTCCTTCAATTTGTTCACAAACGATAGCAGGTTGACTTTCAATTGGGGCATTTAGAAGCTTTTTAAGAATAGCAATAACGACGTCCAATTGACTAAAATTTAAAAAAATCAGCAGAAAAGAAGCAAAAAATATAAACCAGAAAAGAATAGGCTGCAGAAGCGATCCATGATCAGGAAGCGTACATTCAGGACTTGCAGAAACTAAAGCAACCATCAGTAGAATACGATTGGCGTTTTTATTCAAGCTGTTGTTCTTCTTGTCAATGCCAATTTGTTCTGAAAAATTAAATAACCCAAAATCCAGATTTTTATTCAAATCACCTGAACATATACTAGCACTCTTAATTTCACCAGATGATGCAAAATATCTTATACCCATTCCATATTGAAGAACTCGGCCTAAACCAGTATAAGACAATTGCTTGTATCTCTCCAACCATAAATCTCTCCAACCATAAATCTTTCCATTATCAGCAAGCGCAATAAGTTCAGATTGCATAGAGACGATTTTTACAAATTTTGTAACGTCATCAGGAAATTGAAATTTTGTTGAACCATCAGCTACATCATTGCCATTTAAGCCTCAGTAAGTGTATCGTTCACCAAGGAAGAAATGTTCTGGATTGTCGAGGAACTGTCCGCATTTTCTTTGTTTTGGTCTTTTGTTTTGTCTTTTGAATAGAAAAGTTAAAAATAAAAATTTTTTAAATTTAAACCTTCACCCTTGCGTCTAGCCAAATCACGCGAAATCAAGTATTCGTAGCCATCTCCAGCAGAATAAATGCTGTCGCTATCAAGTAAAGCGGATGCTGCGGCACCACTTCCATCGGAACGAAGCCCAGCATCGAGCAAAGACAACAATTCCTCGTGTAGATAGGCCTCACTTGTGTCATCCAAATCATCCATTTTATCATCATCACGAGAAAGCAAATTGTTGACTGCTTCGTTGACATTTAAATTAGTCCGTTGTAATTCACGAACGATCACATCCAGAGCTGCACGAAAATTTTTCGTTTCGTTTCGTGTTTCGTAGATTTTCGTGGATTTTTTGATGGTTTTCGTTTCGTTTCGCGTTTCGGCTGTAGTGTAGTGTACCGGTGGTAAAAGTTCGGGACGTGACATATGTCATTCGATTCGTCTCGACGAGCTGAGTCGAACGGTACCACTCCCCATTTTAGGAAATAATTCTGGACCGAGTTATAGGTCCCGGAATATCGAAAAACCAAAGGGGGGAGTAAGCTCGATTTTGGGGTGAAAAATTCGAATATGCAAATTATACCTCATTCGAAAGAGCTCCTCGAGCTGAGTCGAATGACACCGAAATCAATAAAATCCGACTTGATTTGACAAAATTATGACCGTTTGTTTTAGCTCCTTACCTATGGCATCTGTGGAGATTTTTGCTGCTACGGAGGCCCCAAATACGTCCAGAGCAAGGGAGATAGGAATAGGTTTATGTTACAAGCCCAGACCCAGCGCCCGTAGACTCCCCGCGAGGCGCGTGCCGCAAGACCCCGCGCGAAGCGCGGGGTCTTGCACAAGCGCCTCGCCGACGACCCATAGGTTTATGTTGGTAGTTTTTCTATCGTAACTTTGTCAAAACTTGTGCAATCAAGATGGTTTTGGTGTCATTCGATTCAGCTCGACGAGCTCTCTCGAATGAGCTAACATTTGTAGAATCGAATTTTTGACCCCAAAATCCCCCCTATGGTTTTTGACCATTTCGAGCCCTATATCTCGACTCAAACTTGTTCAATCAAGCTGATTTTGGTGTCATTCGACTCAGCTCGAGGAGCTCTTTCGAATGAGGTATAATTTGCATATTCGAATTTTTCACCCCAAAATCGAGCTTACTCCCCCCTATGGTTTTTCGATTTTCAGGGACCTATAACTCGGTCCAGAATCATTTCCTAAAATAGGGAGTGGTACCGTTCGACTCAGCTCGTCGAGACGAATCGAATGACATATGTCACGTCCCGAACTTTTACCACCGGTACACTACACTATATCCCGCGTTTCGTTAAAAAATAATTTTTTTCGTTTCTTTCGTTTCGTATTTCTTTAAAAATATATTTTCGTTTCATTTTCGTTTCGTAACATGCCATTTTTAGACGAAAATGACGAAAAAATATTCAATATTTTTAGACAATTTTTTTACTATTTTGTCGTATTTTTAAGTTAAAAATTGTAAATTTTTCTCCCGGGGACTGAAAATTTAAAAAATTTTTGCCTTCGGCGCTGAAAAAGAAGGAATCTGCCTTCTTGGCCTTCCAAAATTCTCAAAATTTCTGACTGCGACGCTGAAAAAGGAAGAACTTTGGCTTCTAGGTAACAAGTAACATCGATTGTTACTTCTAAGTACAATCGATCTAGGCATCTCAAACTCAAAATTTTCTCCTGAGGCGCTGAAAAATGGATGAAAAGCGAGGCATTAGCAAAGGTATCTTAGGGTATAGTGGGATCTTATCAAGGCTGGTCTCCCTCGTATGTATATACCTCTGTTCAGTCCCATTGTTTTAATGAGATCATGAGGGATATAGGGGAAATCGAGGGTATATAGTAGAATATGAGCTTGACATCGGTAGAGCAAGAAGTATTGAAGTAACAATCGATTTTGTTTGACCCGGATTTGTAACCTGAGCCGGACCGGATACAGCCTAATTCCTCTATATACTTTTACTCCGTAAATCTGTAATATCAGAAAATTTGGATAATCAAATAGGATTTAGGGATTTGAAGGGATTTCAGGGGATCTAGCGATTTGAACATTGATTTTTTCAGTTCTATAGTTAGACCATCGCGAATAAATTATCAACACCACAATAAATTAGGCATCTTTGTAACTAAATTAAGCTCTGGAGGTGAATTAGTTAATAAATTAGGCATTTTTATAATTTTGATTTTTTTTCGTTTCGTTTCGTTTCGTTTCGTGAAAATTTTGATTTTTTTTCGTTTCTTTCGTTTCGCAAAAATAAAAATTATTTTTTCGTTTCGTTTTCGTTTCGTACATTGACGAATTTATTTTTTTTTCGTTTCGTTTCGTTGAGTGCGAAATTTTATTTTCGTGCAGCTCTGGTCTGAATCTTAAACCGATTTATTATTATTTTGTTTGGGTGTAAAGTGTAAAATTGTCGTTTACGGGCCACCCATTTCCTCCTCATAGTTCTTTCCTTAAAATGGAGTTCAGACGGTTACCCGACACTTGCGGAACGACATTTGCGGATCGACAATTGCGGATTGAATTTTGCGGAACGACATAAGCGGACCCGACATTTGCGGACCGACAGAAGCGGATCGACTTTTGCGGACCGACAGATGCGGATTAACATTGGCGGATCAGACATTTGCGGACCTGGTAATTTTCAAGAAAATAAAAATCCTTTACTCTTGTAAAAGTTTCGTCCTGAATATTGAGATAGCCTTGGGACTTGTCTTCGAAAATTTTCGAATTTGAACAAGAAAAAGGTTCTATGCACAAAATTGTAGGCTGATTTAACATTTTCACCGACCGGACCCGGTACCTGACATTTTCGACACGCAACCCGATCCAAAGAAATATTTTTAAGTCCGAAAAATTAGAAAATCCTTTATTTTTTTAAAAGACTACCAGGTCCGCAAATGTCGAATCCGCAAATGTTAATCCGCATCTGTCGGTCCGCAAAAGTCGGTCCGCATATGTTAATCCGCATATGTCGGTCCGCAAGTGTCGATCCGCATATGTCGGTCCGCAAGTGTCGATCCGCAAATGTCGTTCCGCAAGTGTCGGTACACCGTTCAGACCCCCTTCTTCAGTTCAACTCTACTTCCTTATGGCATATTCATGAACAGTCGTCAATAAAAATTTGTGGAAGAAACCTTGACCAGTATGGACATATTAAGGAAAAACTTGGAGGAGAAAGGGGCCCGTAAACGACAAATCTACCTGTCAAAACCTTAATATTTCTCGTTTTTTATTTTAGAAAATTTATTCTAAATTTATCGAAAACTAAACGATTATTGTATGACTGAAGACAAACAACTTTTCTATTCGGACATGCGCTTCTGGGGAACGAGAATCTTTTGCTTGAAAGGTTAAGTAATTTTGTTTTTACTCATTATTTCAAAATTTTCAAGATTAAAGAATGTGCAGAAAAACGAAATAAAGGCTATTGCTTTACTTCGCCTGGATGTACTGTTCTTCGAAAAATTCCAGCTGAAGATGTTTTGCAAGTTACTGCTGTACATAATTATGTTGCCTTCTTACTCAAGGTTTTAGTTTATAGTAGGGTTGTGGGTCAGGTCTTTGGTTACGGATGTCCTAAGATTTAAGGTCGGTTCAAATCCGGATTTTTTTTCGGTTACGTATTTCCGGAGGTTTTCCAAGAGCCAACAACCTTGTTCACAGTATACCCACCTCTATTTATTCATTTTCAGGATCATCGAGTCGCTCGTCTTCGTTATGAGATTGTTGCCAACACTATTGAATCTACCGCCCTAACAGACAAAAGTATTTTTTAATCTTTTATTTTTAAAACGATTCTTTGTTTGAGATGAATCCGGCCCTGGTTCATCAACAGCTCCAGCTACCACCTCTGCTGCTGGTTCCTCTGATCCAGCGTCAGCTTCCGCAAATGCTGCAAATCCCGCAAATAGAACAGCGAAAATTCGGGTTTATTTCTTTGCTTTTCTTTAAATTTTAAATTTATTTGTAGCGAATCATGATGACACGTCCAGGGACTCGTTCTGGCGGATTTTGCCGCACTGGAGTTGTGATTGATAGAAATCGTTCTCGGCCAATGATTCCTGCCTCTTCCGTTCCAGAAGATTTAATCGTGCAATGCCAGGTTTTTTCTATCCTTCATGGCTTTATTAAAATATTTCTAGGTTGTTTTACAAGGCAAATCTCGGGATGTGATCAGAGCTGCACGAAAATAAAATTTCGCACTCAACGAAACGAAACGAAAAAAAAATAAATTCGTCAATGTACGAAACGAAAACGAAACGAAAAAATAATTTTTATTTTTGCGAAACGAAAGAAACGAAAAAAAATCAAAATTTTCACGAAACGAAACGAAACGAAACGAAAAAAAATCAAAATTATAAAAATGCCTAATTTATTAACTAATTCACCTCCAGAGCTTAATTTAGTTACAAAGATGCCTAATTTATTGTGGTGTTGATAATTTATTCGCGATGGTCTAACTATAGAACTGAAAAAATCAATGTTCAAATCGCTAGATCCCCTGAAATCCCTTCAAATCCCTAAATCCTATTTGATTATCCAAATTTTCTGATATTACAGATTTACGGAGTAAAAGTATATAGAGGAATTAGGCTGTATCCGGTCCGGCTCAGGTTACAAATCCGGGTCAAACAAAATCGATTGTTACTTCAATACTTCTTGCTCTACCGATGTCAAGCTCATATTCTACTATATACCCTCGATTTCCCCTATATCCCTCATGATCTCATTAAAACAATGGGACTGAACAGAGGTATATACATACGAGGGAGACCAGCCTTGATAAGATCCCACTATACCCTAAGATACCTTTGCTAATGCCTCGCTTTTCATCCATTTTTCAGCGCCTCAGGAGAAAATTTTGAGTTTGAGATGCCTAGATCGATTGTACTTAGAAGTAACAATCGATGTTACTTGTTACCTAGAAGCCAAAGTTCTTCCTTTTTCAGCGTCGCAGTCAGAAATTTTGAGAATTTTGGAAGGCCAAGAAGGCAGATTCCTTCTTTTTCAGCGCCGAAGGCAAAAATTTTTTTAATTTTCAGTCCCCGGGAGAAAAATTTACAATTTTTAACTTAAAAATACGACAAAATAGTAAAAAAATTGTCTAAAAATATTGAATATTTTTTCGTCATTTTCGTCTAAAAATGGCATGTTACGAAACGAAAATGAAACGAAAATATATTTTTAAAGAAATACGAAACGAAAGAAACGAAAAAAATTATTTTTTAACGAAACGCGAAACGAAACGAAAACCATCAAAAAATCCACGAAAATCTACGAAACACGAAACGAAACGAAAAATTTTCGTGCAGCTCTGATTCAGACCAGTGTCTAATAAATACGATGAAAAAAGCAACAAAATTAAAATTCGGCGCATAGCTTACGGCGTAAAATTTCATTATAAGTATTCGCGAATATTCGACAGAAAATTAAAGAATTTTAAGCTAATGCCAGAAAAATTGATAACAATTTACATATTTCGGTCTTTTGAAACGGAAAATTCGTTAACTCAAAGAACGAATTTCGTTCTTGACAAAAACCCTTGAACTCAGAGTTCTAGGATCCGTAACAGGATTAAAAAAACAGGACCGAAACAGAATCCGAAAAAATTGTTATAAGTACATACATAATCTAGTAATAAAAAGGAGAATAAAAAGAAAATACAGTGTTAATCATCCAATATCTGCCTTGAAAACTATTCACGAATCTGCTTAGGGAAGTAGAGTGGAAGCAATAAGAAAGGAATCAAAAAAATAAAAAATAAGCAAAAGAAATTAAAATATGTAACAAGTAAAAAATCGATACTCTGCGAAAATACAAAAAATCAATAACACTAACTGTCTTATAGTTAACAATATGAAACTAGATTTTCTCATCACACTTTCACACTTCTTACTCTTTCCGGTTAGGGACGATTCCGCGCACATTGTTCAGCGCCAGTTATAGAAGGCACGTTTCAGCGCCAATTATTAAAAATATATATTTTACCAAACAAATTTGAAAATTTTCAAAAATCATTAATGTTTGAATCATTCTCCATCTTTTAATAAAAAATTTATTATACCAATATCTCAACTCACTCAATATCTCCATGTCCTCCTAATCCACCGATATCTCTCTTAATACATGATATCCCACTATTTACTCCTTATCAATATACTCCTTTTATATAGATTTTTTTCAACCTTTCAAAAAAATAGAAAATGAAACATGTGGGTGATCTTGAAATTTAAATAGATTAATAATGGTACTTATCGGTTGCCCACAAAATGAGTGTCAGCCGAATTTGATCGGCTTTAACTTATTCCTCCAAATCCAACGATATCTTCTTGATCCCTCGATGCCACGCTCAAGTCCTTTGATATTAAATTTAATACTTCAGAATCCCCAGTACCGCTCTTAGTCCTTTTAAATCTTATTGAATTAGAATTTTTGGCACCGTAGGCGACAAAAAAATCGAATAATTATTAAGTTTATAATACAAATTCTGTAAGATCAAATTATGTATAAAATTATATTTGGGTTTTATCTCTTTTTTAAAGCAGCAGCCTTTTCATATAAAGCAACTTTCATCTTCTACTCTTCCAAATAATTCGTAACAGTCTGTACTTTTCAACAATCGGTCGTTGTCTCTCTTTTAAGTGAAAATTTTAGTTGTTTTAGCTATTTTTTACATGCAACAAAAGAATTTCTAGAAATACCTTTATAGAAAGACAATTAAAACAAAGATTCCTTGTTTTTGTGGTCCTACATGTTCTAAATAATATATACATTTACATACCATTAAATAATGTGTCTGAAGAAGCATTTTTGTTGATTTTTGTCCTTCAAGCTTCTCAAAACTTGCATATCTTGATTTTGTTTCTACTAAGTCACTTTCATCAAACAGACCCCTAAGAAAATTTTGGAATTATTTTTATCTTGGTGGGAATAATTCGTATTTTACCTAGGATCACCTATAAGTAAAAATCGAGGCAATTCTCCATCTTTTCTTTCAT